GATTACGACAACAGATACATATGAGCAGCTAACTGAATCTGAAGTAAAAAAGAAGAGAGGATGGCATGATGTAGACGGAGGAGTCATTCCAGGACAAGCACCTCTTCAGGATCTCATACAACCTAACAGGTAGTAAACAATAGGGCACTATATTTTGATATTTTGGATACCATTGGTCCCATGCGCAAGTTGGAGGGCTTTCCCCCCCCCCCCATCAGACAGGCTTGGACTCCCCGTTGTCAGGTGCCACGACGGGGTTGTCTGACCAAAAATAAGGCCGAAAAAATATTGTTATTTGCCCTCCTCCACCCTCCCCTAACTCACTGTAAAAAATGGGGCAGAAAAAAAAAAAAACTTTAAAAAAAGTTTTTTTTAACTTTTTTCTTTACAAATTAAAAAAAATGTTAGTGAATTTATCCTTATTTCTTGCCAGATGCCCTACAAATTAGTCTAAAGTTGTTGTCTGATGTAAGATATTGCCACTCGAGGCCTCTGTGGGTTATTTTTATTCCATCTGATGAGTATCTCAAAAAAAACAACTTTGCATTAAACTTGTATTTGATTCTTTACACAGAGAGTCTGTTGGTATCCAGCTACTGAGAAAGATGGGATGGCGACATGGTCAGGGAATTGGACCTAGGCAGAAAAAAAAGCAGGGTGCGAGTAAGTGTGTCTGTATATATATGGGTGATATTATTCTTAGTATCAATGATTTTTAGTTATCTTTTGTTTATGTTTTTTTTTTAAAATTATCTGCTTTATGTATTATAATAATAACAATAAAAGTCATTTTCCTTCAAAATTGGAAATTTTAATTTGGCTTTTCAGCACCCACGGCAGCTGTAGTCAAGCACCACCTGACATCATTACAACCTGTAAGGGTTGATAGGAACACAAACATGTTCTCTAACTTGCCTAGCTCTTAATGTGAGGGTTAGGCATGCTTTTGGCCCTAAGTGTTCATTCAAAAATAAATTAGCTTGGGCCCTCTGTCCCATTTGTATGCCTACTACTGTCCTAAAATGTATATACTACATAATATGGCACTAATAGTGTCTCCTATTTTTGTTTAAAATTTTAACTTTCAGAGAAAATATATGGCTGCTCCCTGCCACAGACAGAAGAGGGCCAGTCCAGTGAGGATGAGTTTGCACAAGAACACTTTTTTGCTCCGAAGGACATTGAATCTTTTAAATTCCGAGCAAAAGATAACCTACATGGCATCGGATACAAAGGAATTGATGCGAGAACAGCAATGTTCGGTGGACACGAGAATATAAATCTTTTCGAAGACCAGTCAATACCGAGCAAGAGCTCATCTGGAAAAAGGGGCATTAGGGGTACAGTAAGTATCAATAGGTACTTTACGCCACAAGGCATTAACCTTAACTTTAACGTTAGTACCGAACATGCAGCGCAATAGCTTTGCCCTTTTTTGTAAACAAATTTCCGAAAACTCGTAACTGACGTACGTCGAGCACGTAAAATCCTAAAATTAACGTAGCCTGCAATGCAAGATGAATAAATTAGGACATCATCCGTTTTAACGTCGTGCAGCAAGAAACTACGCATTCTAGTCTATTTCATAAATAAATTGGTTTTGGGGGATTTAAGCTTTTCTATTTTCCTTTCGTTTGTCTTTTTGTAGTTCTTGTTTATTTTCATTTTATAGTTAAGTTTTCATGATTATTATTATTATTATTATTATTAATATATTAATATTATTATTATTATTAATATATTAATATTATTATATATTAATGCTTGCGGTACACCACGTAGATAGTTCTGAAAAAAACTGCAATTGAGTTGCTTCAATCGTCTTCAGAAGAATAATATCTGCAGAAATTCCAAAACAGTGACACTTACTTCTGATTGGTGGAAAACTAAACAATAGCTAAGACGTGTGAAAGATCTAATACAAATTTATTATTAATACTTGATAAATTGACTAATTACCATTATAATGAGGATAAGCTGGTGTGCGCTATTCTGGTCACTACCTGGCCTGAGACCTCAGACATTTCTATAGGAATCACTTTACTTCTGTGCTATATAATTCAAATTATCAAAAAATTCTTGTTATGATTTAGGATATAATTGAGTAATCATTTAGATTTATAAATATGCATTTTTTTAAGATACTGTAATTTGATATTTAAAAATATACTATA